TGAAGACAGCTACAGTGTACTCGTTATATATATAAAATAAATAAATAAAATTTTTTAAAGAAAAGGGGGATGGTTGGGTCCCTGGTCCATCCAGAACCACAGGAAGGACACAATAGCCCGTGATATACTCAGATCAGGTGGAAATTTCCCTCTACTGTAAAAATGTAGGCAAATTTGTCACAGCGTGTGAATCTCCCATCTGATGCTGACCCTGGCCCATGCTGAGGGTCCACATAACTGAGTCGCTCCTGAGAGGTGTGAGTCTCATGCCTATCTCACTGTCCCCAGCTCAAGACAGGGGTACTTGAAGAAGTGTCTATCCTTCAGAGCCCCACGGTTTGGCATGAGTACTGGTCATATAGAAGACCCATAAAAACCCCTTCAAGCCAGGGGTAGTGAGTGACCTTGAATCGCTCTGCACACTGCAACTCTGAACTACACCCAGGAGGCCAGAAAGACTTCAGTCGGCCCTTCTGGCAGTACCTGGCCCTGGATTCTGGGGACTCCCTATCCAGTGTAGGGTCAACCCCCTGTGCTGCCCAGCTTTTGCCAAGGATATCCCATGGCCACAAGGGTACCATGCCATTATGGTCACTGCTCTAGAAGATGGGGAGCAGAAGAAAACTCACTTTAACCCTAGACCCAGCTCCAAGGTCACTGTTAGCACTTCAACCTGCTTCTCCCTGGTCCCAAGTCTAAGAAGCCTCTTCTGGGTCTGTCACAGGAAGTGGGAGGATCCAGACCTTTATGACAGTCTCAGGCTTCTCTGGAGACCCAGACCTAGTGTGGGGTCAGTTGGAATCTCAGACCCTGTGGTAGCCTGCACATCTATGGCGGCCCCACCTGGCCATTATCTTACTCACCTACAGGAACCTACACATTCCTGCTGACTCTGGAAGCAACCTACTCCTAGGCCCCGACAGCTGCTGCATCCTCTATCTGAGCCAAGAAGCCAGCCTCCTTCTCACCCCACTGCCCAGCCTCTTAGCCCAATTGTCTCTTCCAATTGGGAACAACTGTCAGGTAGTGGGCAGTGACCCTGACTAGCTGTTTGAATAGGAGTCACAGTGGTGACAAACCATAGGTAAACAGACAGCCCTGGGGCTATACAGCCTGGGGGAATCTGAAGGTCTAGGCCTCCACAAGGGAATCCTCTTTGCTCACCAGGCCTGGCTCCAGCTGAGCCTCTGGTTTCCCTGAGGCCAGGCTCTGACTCTGTGACTCCAGGCTCAGTTTTAACCTCAAGCCTCCAGACCACAGCAGTGAGCAGGGTTGGGGTAGAACGGCAGTGTGCAGAGAGTCTTCCCTGACCAGCACCCTGACCACGGGCAAGCTTAACTGAGCTGATCAAGCACGTTGGTTGATCATCCCAGTCCTCAATGATGGGGTGCCAGGGGCAGGGCCTGACACTCTACACTTACCAACCTGGATAATGACAGGGTATGCTGTAGCTCCACCCCCAGAGCTGAGGATGGACCCAAGGGCCAAGGCGAAGCCCTCAGCTAGGTACTTGATTTTCTTCCAGAGAGGTGTGAGGGCTGCTGCTGATGTTGCCTGTCCTATTTCCCACCCTCATTGCTCAAGTAGATCTCCTCCCTCCCTTCCGGCCCTCCTTCCCAACCTGCTTCTGCCTGCCTACCACTATGTCCTTCCAAGCCTCAACCTGAGCTACCTCCTCTGCTTCTCTGCCCTATCCTCTATCCAGACTTTCAGCTCCCCCATTGGTCACCTATCTGACTCCTGCTGAGGGATGAAGGGTTTCTACCAAACCTGGTGGGAAGAGCTATCCCTGTCATTGGTTGAAGTTACAGACCTCCCTACTTCCTTCTCTCGCTCCGTCTCCAGAAATGAACAGCCTGAAGGGCTAGGATTTGACCCCCACATCACCCACTTTAAGCATGGGTGTCTCAGATACACAGCGGCCTGAGAAGTGAGGTGATTATACCTTCTCATTCTCCTCATGGATCATGAAGAACAGAGGGACCCATGGATCATTCCAGCAGCAAAGTCCTGATCCTGTAGGTGTCCCTAGGGAGCCTCATGCTGTGGAGCACATGGGACTGACTCTAGGAATGCAGCAGGGCAGGACCAGGATAACATTAGGGTAAACAGTTTCCTTTGGGGAAAGGGTGGTAATAAGACCGGGGGGCCTGGGTGCCTGGGAGTAGGGCAGCACTTGGGATGGAAATAAATATTAATGATAAAAAGGAACTGGAGGGTTTGGAGGATTTAGAATCCAGAAGGGAGAGTCTTGAGGGAGGGCCACTCTGTGGTGCCGGGTCAGGTCTTTCACACACCCAGTCTCCTGTCCAGTTGCTAACTTCCATCTCCAGCAAACTGCAGGCTCAGCTCTAGAGCCCAGCAGGCCCAGGTGGTGATGGGAGAGGCCGCTCACAGGCCTGGTCCTTGTCCAACTGACCCCATTTCACTTCCAGCAAACTGCAGGCTCAGCTCTAGGGCCCAGCAGGTTGGTCCAAGCCCAGCAAGCCCAGGTGGTGATGGGAAGGGCTGCTCACAGGCCAAAGTAAAGAGACTTATCTGGCCACCTGGCAAGACAGGGGCTGGGCTTGTTATCTGGGCAGAGCTAGGCAGCCATGTGTGTGATACAAGATTCAGATACAAGGTTTCTTTTTCGGTGAAGAACCCAGGATGGAACCAACCTGGTTTGGAGAGCAACGCCCAAGCCCCATTCCCACTCCACATCTAGTTGAGGATCCCGGATGAGACTATGAAGTTTCCAACCCCACCCCTCAGAGACCCATGTGTATTCATCTCCAACCCCGATGCTGACCTCTGTGCTCTGACCACAGACTGCCATGTGGTACAGCACAGCTCCTGCACACTGACTCCTGCAGGATGTTTGCAGCATCCTAGTCCCTGCACACTCACCTCTGGGTACTGACCCCTGGAAGCCTGAGAGTAGCTGAAGGGGATAGAGCATCTCACAAACATGCCCTGCCTCCATACTGGGAGGCCTCTGTGCTTCCTGTGTCCCCATTTACATGACTAGGAGGGGTGTGAAGGGCCCAGTGGGGAGAAGCAAGCAGGCTGAGGCAATAAAGTGTTCAAAGAGGCCTCTATGAAATTATCCCTGCCCCTCTGGATAGCATTGCTCTTGTCTCTCAAGACTACTCAAACAAGTGCAGGGGTTCTTGCCCTGACAGTCACATCTTACCAGAGGCTGCCCTGGAAGATGTACCTGACAGCAGATACAGAAAGCCTGGCTGCTCCAAGAGCAAGAGTATGGTCAAATGCTGTCACCGAACTGCTGCATTCCAAGAGTTGGAGAGCCAGGCAATGTGGGAAGGCCCTCCAACTCACAAGAGTTGGTTTCCTGTCTGGTCAGCTAGCTTTTAGCTCTTAGTACACAAGGAATCCATCTGACTGTTTGGGGTCGTCATACTACTGAGATGACCAGCAGAAAAGGGATCATTGTCTTGGCTAGAGGGATTCATCTCTCATTGCCAAGAAGAAGTCGAGTATCTGCTTCAGAGTAGAAGATGCTTACTGTGTAACTGGGGGTGCCTGGGGTACATTTGGAACCTACTGGTGAAGGTCACAGGACACCAAGCACCCGATTTAAGGTCAGTGAAGGTAAGCTCTTCTGGAAATTATGATCTTATGAAGGCAAAGAAGCTCAGTATGGGACACATCCCTAGCACATGCCTAACACATGCCTAGCACATGTGAGACCCTGAGCTCCTGGGATCTAGTCTCAGCATCACTAAAAGGAAGACAAGTAAAGTGCGGCTGAGGCCCCAGCCGGGCAGAGGACACATGGAGCTAGCTTAGGGGCCGTCCTGCTGCTCCCCACTGCTTCACAATGTTGAATGGAACTGAGATTGAGAGGGAAGGGATATAAAATGAACACCACAAAGACTGGAAGCTGTGCAGTTCCGATGACATCCATGTGCCGTCTGCCATGTCTAGTCTTTCACTGTCTTCTGCACGCTGATATGGCATCAGATGGGGACACAGGTCAAAGCAGGAGCCTCCAACTGTGTGAGGGACTGGTGGCTCCTCTCTGGAGTTAAAGGTCTGTAGCTGTTCAGATGTGTGTTTCAGGCTGAGAGACACGTGTAACACACACACACACACACACACACACACCCCTCGGGATCTGTGGTGGTGGTGCCCTCAGTGACAGCCTGTTGTGACCACCCTTCTCTTCTCCATCTATTGCACCAGAATATTTTCTCAGAAATTGGTTGGTTATCCTGTGTTTCAGCAGATTCCTGTTTTTATTATGTCTGCTCTGCCATTTCTTCCTCTGGCCTCTTCTGCTGGTCTTGGCTCAGTTCATGGCCAAGGGCTAGTCCACCTGCTTATGGGAGAGCCTTGTTCTTTAGAGACAATTTACAGAGAAGGAGTTTTGTTTTCAAAGCAAACATTCCAAAGTGTACTGGAATGGGCAGCTGCTGCCAGGAGATGAGGGCTTCCCAAGGGTCCTGCCTTGTGGATTTTAAAGTTGTTGTTTGATATTTCTGAGGTGGTGGCACAGTCTTGTAAGTGACCCTTTTCCCCTATCAAATCATAGTGGAGTCTATCTCTTTTTATAGGAATCATGGCTTCTACCCCCATGACTCCTATAAAGGGACGTGTGAAAACCACAATTCAGATGGTATTATAGTTGTGTCAGATCTTTTGAGGATCAGACCTTTTGTTAGTGTTAGAGAATGTCCTGGTGCTTTAGTTCCTGCTATGGAAAGAGGATCCTCACCTCAGCTCCAAAGGAGAATTCTCTGTGTCAGGAGACACAACCACCTAGGAGAGCGGCATCCATGTGCTCTGTGAATGCAGCTCTAGGATGAGAACAGAGGCCATGCTGTTCTTAGGTCTGGACTCAGTACCCAGCTAGGTCAGGCTCTGGTGATTGTGGATGGGTTATAACTCTCTGGCATGGTCACATAGGTGGCTCTTCTGACACCTGTCCCTGATGTCACATGGTAGTCAAACTCCCTTCTCTGCAAGGAAGGCTTGGTTCATAGAAATGGAGGGTAAGCTCCTGGCAATGGGCAAGGAGACACCTTGATGGTGGCACTGTTCTTATATCATTAGTCAGGGACAGAGCAGATGGCAGTCCTTTGTTTATTCTGGCTTGATGCCTTGCTTGGTGGCCACAGCTGTCATAAGCCTAGGACACATAATCAAATCAAATCAATTCCAGGCAGTGCAGCATTGGAGGAGAAAGACAGACACATGCCTTTGGTCTGCCAGGCCACACAGGCTTGGTGACACCTACAGATCTGCCCTCTGCTCCACAGTACAGGCAGGACATAGACACACAGAACCCTGCCTACCAGCATGCAGGGCAATGGGAAAGGAGGAAGACAGACAGAGACCTGCAGATTGTCATGCCACCCACATTCCTGCCCTCCAGAGCATGGACCTGCTTGCCACATTATGATACATGGATAGACAGTGTCACACAGGGCCCACTAGCCCCATGTCCAGCCTGCAGCAGGAGCCACCACAATGTGTGTTTATGTGGTGGACAGATGGGAGAGGACGAGAAGTGCAGCAGAGTGAAGAGAGACGGAGCTGGAGACTCGAGGGTGAAGAGGAACAGTCTGTTGTGAGTGGCCAGCCCTGCCACTTGGGGCCATGGTGAGATCCCAGCCTGGGCTGCCACTGAGGGCCATGTCTGGGCCTGTAGCTATACAGTGACAGGAGTCATTGTTGATGTTGGTGGCTCACTAGAGAACATGGGGATGTCCCTGTTCTGGGCAGCTACCAGGAAATGTGTTAAATGTCCAAGGGCCGTGCAGAACTGTCCCACCCCTCACTGGCTACGGCACTTTGGAAAACTGGTCCCAGTTCTTACTTGCTGGTGGCAGCACTTGGGAGAGTGTCCCTCATCCAAGCAGCACAGGAGTTGGTCCCGGTGGGGGTAGGGTGTAGGATGGACACTGGCCCCACCATTCATCTGCCAGTGTGGTGGTGTAGGTATGGGGGTGACATCCTCAGCCACCTCACACACCCGGCCTACCCACCACCTGAGGCAGTTGGGAGAGCTGGCCTCAAGAGAGGGCATGAGAGCAGGAGAGCTAGCCCTGCCCCCTCACTGGCTGTAGCACCTGGGAGAACAGGCCCTGCTCCTCACCTGTGCAAAACAGTGGAGCTGGCCCTGATGCCAAAGGCTCAGATGAGCCAGCCCTGAGGGTGTGAGAGTGGGAGAATTAGCCCAGCCCCTCAGAGGCTGCAGCACTTGGGAGAGTGGGCCCTGCACCTTGACTGGGCAGCACAGTGGAGCTGGCTCTGGAGGCGTGGGTGTGAGTGAGCTGATCCTGCCTCCTGCCAATGGCAGTATTAGGTGGTCTAGCCTGAACAATGCTGGAGAATTTACCCTGGTGATTTGGATAAGGGAGAGTTGACCAGCTCAGCTACCACTCATGCCCAGATCCAGGGCTCTGAGTTTCCCCACCCCAAAATCTACATTATCTGTGAACGTTTGGGATATGAAAAAGGGCCAGTCCTGCTGATCCAAAGCTGCAGGATCTCCATGACACAGGGCAACAACAGGGTAACCAGGAGGAAGCCCAGTGAGAGTTCAATATTGATGGTGACACAGAAGCCAGAGATCTCAAACCAGACCAATGACTCATTGCCATGAACATTCTCAAGTGAAGATGTGTGGACAGAGGGAAATACTGAGGGACACACTGACACACTACAGCCTCCATGATGAGATGTTTTCTATGCTTTTTGTTTGTTTGTGTTCTTTTTATTTTGAGGAGGAGGTTGATGTGTTTATAAAAAGATAAAGAGAGGAGGGGATATGTTTGGTGATATGTGGTGAGGTGTGGGGGAAGGGGGCGTCTCTGTAGGCTCATTCCCCATGACTATGATGGTATAGAATAGAATAGAGTTTACTCAGGACGTGGGGAGGGGAGTCAAGAGGGTAGTAGAGGTAGAGAAAGGCACAGAGAAAGTGAGAGAAAAAGTGAGAGGGAGAGGGAGAGGGAGAGGGAGAGGGAGAGGGAGAGGGAAGAGGGAAGAGGGAAGAGGGAAGAGGAGGGGAGAGGGAAGAGGGAAGAGGGAAGAGGGAAGAGGGAAGAAGAGAGAAGAGAGAAGAGAGAAGAGAGAAAAGAGAAGAGAAGAGAAGAGAAGAGAAGAGAAGAGAAGAGAAGAGAA